AAAGAAAGAAAGAAAGAAAGAAAGAAAGAAAGAAAGAAAGAAAGAAAAGAAAGAAAGAAGGAAAGAAACAAAGGAAGGAAGGAAGGAAGAAGAAAGGAAGGAAAGGAAGGAAGGAAGGAAGGAGGAAGGAAGGAAGAAAGAACGAACGAACGAAAGAAAGAAAGAAAGAAAGAAAAAGACAGAACCCCAACCTGGGGCATCTGAACTCAGGCCCTGAGCTCCTCCCCATTATCATGCTGGCATGTCTCACCTTGGACCACCTGGGTCCACAGGAAACAAAAGCTTGCACTGGAAGCTGCCTCAAGCCCCTTCTGTTGCTGACCTCCCAAAATTCTAGTGCAGCCCTGGCAACTATCTCAGCCTAGCCCCGGACATACACTGAAGCACAGTCGATGCCAATGGGGGACACGAAGCAGATTCAAGACTCTGCCTCCAGAGCTGCCCAGACATCATTGGAAAGCAGGCCTGGTGCGGTGAGCCCCTGTTAATTGGGGCTCAGGAGCGATATTATCCCCTGGGAGTTTGCCTCCATCAAAACCTCACTGTGGGGCTTCCCCGGTGGCGCAGTGGTTGAGAGTCCGCCTGCCGATGCAGGGGACGCGGGTTCGTGCCCCGGTCTGGGAAGATCCCACATGCCGCGGAGCGGCTGCGCCCGTGAGCCATGGCCGCTGAGCCTGCGCGTCCGGAGCCTGTGCTCCGCAACTGGAGAGGCCACAGCAGTGAGAGGCCCGCGTACCGCAAAAAGAAAAAAAAAAAAACCTCACTGTGACTGTCATACAGAGTGAAGTAAGTCAGAAAGAGAAAAACAAATATCATATATTAATGCATGTATGTGGAACCTAAAAAAACGGTACAGATGAACCGGTTTGCAGGGCAGAAATAGAGACACAGATGTAGAGAACAAACATGTGGACACCAAGGGGGGAAAGTGGTAGCGGGGTGGGTCGGGGGGTGGGTGGGATGACTTGGGAGATTGGGATTGACATGTGTACACTAATATGTGTAAAATAGATGACTAATATGAACGTACTGTATAAAAAATAAATTAAATTAAATTTAAAAAAAAAACCCACTGCTGGGACTTCCCTGGCCGGTCCAGTGGTTAAGACTCCGAGGTTCCACTGTGGGGGGCACAGGTTCGATCCCTGGTCAAGAAAGTAAGATCCCACATGCCACACAGCACGGCCAAAAAATATATATATTAAAAAAAAAAACAATATGCGATAGATAACCAACAAGGACCTACTGTATAGCACAGTGAACTGTATTCAATATCTTGTAATAACCTATAATGGAAAAGAGTCTGAAAAACAATATATGTGTATATATATATATACACATATATATATAACTGAATCACACCTGAAATTAACACAACACTGTAAATCAACTACACTTCAATAAAAATTTAAAAATTAAAAAAAAATTTAAAAACCAACTGCAAGATAACAACCCCGGGAAAGAAAGCCAAGATTTCCTGACACCAAGACAGCTCCAGGGAAGAGTCTCCTTCATTTTACCTCAACTTTCACATCTGTTCTCACGTCTCAGATATTTTCTGGTAAAGTACTTCTCTGCTAGTTCTGCTTTCATTTGCCATCCAATAGACATCAGAGTGTTTCAGTGGGAGGACAAGGGTCTCTGGCATTTAGTCCTTCTGCTTTTGTGGCTTATTACAAATCTTGCAAAGGCCTGTGAACTTTTGAAATGAGTACATCGTCTGAACTTTGCAACTCCTCCCAATAACCAGAGGGCTGGTACTGGGAAGTGTGGCTAAGACCGAGGGTTGTGACCTGGTGCTTCCTTGTCACAGAAACCCTCACCATCCTTGAGAGAGGGGAGCATTCTGCATGGGGATGCCAGAAAGAAACTCAGTGTGTTTGCTCCCCCAGTGACAAACCCATCACCAGATCTTTAAAGAGCGCACAGGCACAATTAAGCAATTGGCTTGCAGGTTTACCGGGGGAGAAAAGTCGTATTAATACAGGAAGAGTTGCATAGATTTGTTAACTTAGGATGAACGCTGCATAATGTAGACCAGCTATCTGATGGCTTTGGTAATTAACATGAAGGCAAGGAGAATAGGCCAAGTGTCGAGATGGGCCCTTAGAGCCACCTTAGGCAAGCAGCACATTCTTCCTTGGAAGAAAACAAAGACAAACAATGAGTGGGTGGCTTCAGTGGATTTGATAATGTTCCATTTCTTCATTAAGGTTGTGAACATGAGGTGTCTGCTTCCCTATCCTTTATAACGTATCTGCATCCTATATAAACATATAGTATACACCAAATATTTTATAACTTCAGATGAAATAATTAATAAGCTAATAAAACACAGGATTGGGGATATCTGGGTTTGTGGCACTGCAGATGGAAAGGGTGATAGGGAGGATGTGGGAGGCTTCAGAAACTCCCCAGGATGGCATTTTTATTCTGGTACGTAGAGTAGGCATCCCTCCTTTCTGCTACGAGTGGATTTCCTACCACACAAGCATTCAGAATGTCTCTTCTCTATTTCTGACCCTTAGAAACAGAGCCTTACCCCTTCCTTAATTCTGAACCGCTCCTCACAGGTTCAGCGGGTGGGTCACCCTTCCTTGATGCTAGAACCGCACCCCGTCAGGACAAGACCGTGTGAGTTTGCGATCACAGTGGATTATTTGGGGGAGAGCTTATGCTGGGCGGGGGAATCTAAGTGATTAAAGGGGTCTTTCTCCCAACTGATATAGGATCACGGGGACCTCATGAGTGAAAACCTTAGAGTTTCGATGAATAAGATTACTAGAAGGCTTTAGGGGGACACTAGACCACACTCGCTGGACCTAGAGGAGAGAATCCACGTCTAGAGAACAGTGTAGACAAGCTCTGTAGCTGCAAATCCTTAGCCCATATGGGAGCACCAGCCCTTGACAAAGTATCACTAAATTTGTAGGAGATTATATACACACACGACAGAAATCCATATTGGCATAAAGTCGCCAACTGTCCTTCTTGGGAAACACTGCCTATTATTCTGACTTGGGGAATGTCCTTTCTTTTATGAAACTATGGTCATAACAGATGGTTTAGTAGAAACTGTCTTAACCAACCCCTTTCTTAACCAACTTATTAGATCAACCAGCACCCTCCAGTCTCTTGGTGAAACATACTATCTTTATGCTTGAGGCAATGGGCAGATTCTCTTGAAGATCCCCTCGCTTCTGCTCTCACCCGTTGAGGTATGTGTTGAACAAGAGTCAACGGCATTCAGGCCCAAACTTGTTTAGGCCGGTCAAACATGTTAATTATAATTATGCAATTTAATGAATTCATCCATAAACTAACCAATTAAGAGTATAAACAGAAAGGATATTGACCAATGACAGGAAATGTAAACAAAGAGAACTGGTTATTTCTACAAAAAGTAAATTGAATGCTTTAGAGCACGCCATTTTTTTTTTTTTTAGAGCATGCCATTTTTTTAAAAAAAACATCAAATTAGGAATGAGGGAGAGGACTGTAAAATAGTCACAGTGAAAACATAAAAATGAAAAGAGGTTTCGCAATCAGATCGCGTCGTAAGTATCCAGAATGTCTTGCTTCACGTTAGGGAAACTGGAACTAGAAACTCCAGGACGAGACAGTGTGTGTGATTTGTGCAGAAAAGGCAACGAGTCCCTCTTTCAGCAGACCCATCAGTGAAAAATACCTGCATCCAAATACCTGCAAATGATGACACACTTAGATATTTTGAGCCAAAGAAAGCATTTAGAGGAAGAATATATCTTTTGTGTGATTCCTTGAGTTCACCAACTTTTCCAATGAACTGACCAATAACAATTTCAACTACATTGGGTGAGAATGCACCTACCTGATAAAATAAAAGGCTGACTACTATATCAGTCCCTCCTGATCTAAAACGTTGTTGATACATGAAATCAACAGATGTTAGCTGGCCCTTCCTGGCCATTCCTGCTAAAGGCCATGTATTTTGAAGATCGCCAGTGCAGTATATTTTTCTCCCTCAACTGACTCTCAAAAGGGCTCTGTCCATAGAGAACGGACTTGTCTGCCAAGGGGGAGGGAGGGTGGGAGAGGGAAGGATTGGGAGTTGGGGGTTAGCAGATGCAAACTATTATATATAGAAAGGGTAAACCACAAGGTCCTACTGTCTAGCACAGGGAACTATATTCAGTATCCTGTGATAAACCATAATGGAAAAGAATATTAAAAAAGAAGATATATATATATGTGTGTATATATAATATGTATAACTGAATCACTTTGTTGTACAGCAGAAATCAACTACACTTCAATTTTTTTAAAAGGGCTCAGGGGCTTCCCTGGTGGCGCAGTGGTTGAGAGTCCGCCTGCCGATGCAGGGGACATGGGTTCGTGCCCTGGTCCGGGAAGATCCCACATGCCGCGGAGCGGCTGGGCCCGTGAGCCACGGCCGCTGAGCCTGCGCGTCCGGAGCCTGTGCTCTGCAACGGGAGAGGCCACAACAGTGAGAGGCCCGTGTACCGCAAAAATAAATAAATAAGAGAGAGAGAAAGGGCTCTGTCTTCTGAAAGCCAGCAGTATACACATAGTTCTCAACAGGAGACTATCCAAGCCCTCCAACTTTTATAAAGTGGAATCTTTAAATATTAATCATTCAAAAAGCAAAGGAGGGAAACCCCGGAAGCTTTAGTCAGGTTATAAATAATCGTGCACTCAACCAGAACTGAGTGGTTAAATCTCTCGGAGTTTGTCTTAACAGAATGTGCTTTCCTGGAATGTGGTAAATGCCACCCTCACTCAGATCAGCAGAACCTTACCTGAACTTTCTCTCTCTTGCAGTAAAGGTGCCAGTCCACAGCCCAAAGTCTGCCTTAGCAGGGTCTCCGGAAACGGTTGAGACAACACCTAGATACCAGTCATTATGAAACAATTTCCCTTCAAACCTCTTGCACATGTTTGCCTTCCTTCTCCCACCCTGACTACTTCCCCAGCGCTCTCAGGACTGAACAAATCGGGCTGGTTTCAGGGCAGAGTCCTGTAGTCACGACCCAAAACCTAAAGAACCTAAATGCCTCCCGTGAGGACCACCAGTCAGAAATCCGCCCCATCCAGCTATAGAACGGACTGGACAAATTTCACAAATATCATGGGCTGCTCAGCTACATCTCTGAGGACATGAGAAGGTCTCTTTTCAGACAGCCACCCATCCAGATGGCTGGGAGCTGGGATAAAAACATTATATCCCGCGATATATCTGGTAGACACTTTTTTAAAGCTTGCATGAGGCAATTAAAAGTGTGAATCAGAGTGAATCTGTCTTCTGGGCTGATTTACCTTCCCTCGGCTCAGCCGGGCGGCCAGGACCTTCCACATCCAGCCCATATCCACCATGCAGACAAAGTCAGGGTGGGAGGGAAGTCCAAGAGGGAGGGGATATAGGTATACATATAGCTGATTCACTTCATTGTACAGCAGAAGCTAACACAACGTCGTGGAGCAATTATACTCCAGTAAAAATAAAAATTAAAAAAAAGGGGAAGAAGAGGCCACCAGACTCCTCCAGACAAATCAGACGGAGCTGAATACTAGTCTGTGTTCCTAGACATGACACAAGTTTCACGACAGTAAATCTTTACTAGTATCTGTGGTAGATTCCAGAGAAGATGAGTCCCCTACAATCCGACAGAAGCTTGTACTGAGCGAGTCTGTTTTGTGCGGGCTGCTTAAACACTCAGCAGTAAAGGTACTTCCCGCACAACGGTTAAAATGGCGCAGTGACGCCATTCAGAACGTGGCTGTCTGTTGTGACTTATTCATGGAGCTCAATTCACTGTTTCATTTAAAGGTCTCCCTACAGGCACTTCGTGCTCTGTAAGTCCTAAAACCACCTGGGTCAGAAATACTCTTACTCTGACCCACTCAGCTCAGGTGACCAGCCCAAGAATATTTAAGCTTGCTTGGGTTCTGTAAGCTCTCCCAGGATGATAAAGCCCTTGAGATTCTAGGGAATCATCTTTCAGGGAGTGGGGGGCAAGAAGAAAGAGCAGCCCATGCTGAGATGAGATGGCCATCCACTAAGGCCACCTCCGCCAGACTACTTGGGATGTCCAGAGCTGTGAGAAGTTGGGGAAACCCCAGGACACACTGATAATGGCCCAACTAAACATCCCTACGGTCCCAATACCTGCTGGGGCACTTGTCTGTGACCCCCAGGCAGAGCTGGTCCTTTCTTCCCAAGTCATGACTCCCTTCCCTGACACTTCCCTCCAGCCCCAAACAAAAGAAACCCAAGCAAAGGAAGAGACCTTTGTCCTCCAGTCAAGGGGAATCATGGTGCCTCACCGCTCTCATTTCGGGAGGCGGAAAAAAAGTCTCTCCACTGCATGCTGCTGGGAAGGGGATCCTGAAATCCCTCTGGTTGCCCAGGTGACCCAGGGGTCCCTTCCTCACGTGATGGACACGGGTGTCCCTGCTCCTGAAAGCTCACCCTGAGTTCCCAAGTCTGAACCATCAAGTTACTTATTCATTCGGTCAACACATAAATATTCAAGAACCCACCCTGTACCTGACATTAAACTAGGCACGGGGGATACAGCAGTGAGGAAGACAAATTCCCCACGTCTGGGCAGCCTACAGCCTGGTGGAGAGGGGGCAATCAGTAAACCCATGTGCCAATCAACAAGTTAGCTCATAAAGTAGTAAGTACTACTTTTTTTTTTTCGCGGTACGTGGGCCTCTCACTGCTGTGGCCTCTCCCGTTGCAGAGCACAGGCTCCGGGCGCACAGGCTCAGCGGCCATGGCTCACGGGCCCAGCCGCTCCGCGGCACATGGGATCTTCCCGGACCGGGGCACGAACCCGTGTCCCCTGCATCGGCAGGCGGACTCTCAACCACTGCGCCACCAGGGAAGCCCAAGTACTACTTTTACTTAGGGCAATGTGACAGAGAGGAATCAGAGGTGTAGCAGGGGCCACTGCTGTTAGGGGGGTCTGGGAAGGCCACCCTGGGAGGGAACATTTGAGCTGAGTTGTGATAATAAAAATAAGCTTTTTTTTTTTTGCCACACCACGTGGCCTGTGGGATCTTAGCTCCCCGACCAGGGATTGAACACAGGTCCCTGCAGTGAAAGCACGGAGTCCTAACCACTGGACCACCAGGGAATTCCCTTTTCTCCTTTTCTCCCTCTCTCCCTCCCTCCCTCTCTCCCTGCCTTTCTCTCTCTTTGGCAAACCTAACTATTCACATATCCGTTGGAAGAGCATTCCAGAAAGAAGGAATAGTAAGTGTCAACGCCCTGAGAAGGAACCACGTATTATCTTGTTAGAAGGATGGAAGAAAGTCCAGTGTGGGCAGAGCAGGGCAAGTGAGAGGCAGAGTAGCCAGAGAGAGGGTCTTAGGGGCAGGCAGGGACCCATGGACCCTGGGGGCCTCCTGGGCTGTGGAAGAAGCCACTGGAAGGTTACAAGCAGGGAGTGATCAAGTCTGTGCTTTAAAAAGATCCCTCTGGCTGCTGGGAGGAGACTGGACTCAGGAGCAGAGAACAAGAGGGACTCCAGGCCGGGGACTGGACTGGTTTGGTAACCATGGAGATGGCAAGCTGGGATGAGATTCAGGATTCCAGAGGGAGAGCTGCCAGGACCCTAGAATAAAGACAGCAAGTCCAGCGTCTGTATATACTCGATGACTGTCCCTGTGTGAGTAGCTGTGTATAGACACACACGCTCACACACACACACACACACACACACACAACACACATTATCCTCCTTATACACACAGTCCAGGGTGGTGGCCCAGACTCCAGATTCTGGAGCCAAGATGCCCAAGTTCAAATTCGAACTTATCCACTTGCTAGCAGTAAAATTTGGTAAGTCACTGAACCTCTCTGTACCCAGATTCCTCCTCTGTAAAATGGGGACAATAATAAAGGTGTCCTCTTAGGGTTGTGGTGAGGATTAAATTAGTTACTATAGGTAAAGCATTTAGGGAAGAGTACCTGTTATACAGTATATTTTTTCCTATTTCTGCTGTAACAAATTACCACAGATGTAATGGCTTCACTAACACAATACAAATTTATTCTCTTACAATTCTGGAGACCAGAAGTATGAAATCAGTTTCACTGGGCTAAAGTCAAGACGTCAGCCGGGCTGGCTCCTTCCGGGGGCTCTGGGGAGGATCCGTTCCTGCCTCTTCAGCTCCTGGAGGCTGCGGCGTTCTGCGGGCCCTGGCTGCATCACTCCGACCTTTGCTCCCACCATCACACTGTCTTCTCCTCTGTGACCTTCTTGCCTCCCTCCTATAAGAAACCTTGAGCTTATATTCAGGGCCCAGAATCATCTCCCCATTCACAATCCTCAACTCTGTTATATCTGCACAGTCCCTTATGCCACAGAAGGTAACATTCACAGGTTCCGAGGGTCCAGGTGCCGCTAAGTCTTAGGACCATTGTTCAGTCCAGCACTCGTGATAAGCAATAACTAAAAGTGAATTACTCTTATTATCGTTACCATTGTGACTGCTCCCTCAGCAGCTCCGGAGTGTATCCCCAGCCCCCTCCCAAGCTGTGTGGGAGAGAAAGGGATGAGGAAAGACCCCTGTCTAACTCCCAGAAGCTCCCTGAGACTAGGCCCCGAGCCCAAACCATAGCTGGCCACGATGCTGACTGTATCAGACAGAGGCCTCAGGACCTGGCTGGTCCCATGAGGGGACTGGGGGGCAGGCAGAGAGCAGATGAAGCAGGAACATACTCAGAGGCCTCGAGTGGGACTGAGAGGGGCCCCTGGAACGCAGGCTAAGGCTTCCTGATGGCGCTGTATTCCGTGGGTTCCTCATGGCTCCTGCTGGGAATGCGGGTGATGAGGTGCTCCATGTTGCTATAGGTTGGCTCTTGATCTGAGGTTTCCAAAGACAGAGCTGCACGGGCAATGTCCTCCCTGAGAAAGGGAGTCTGCAATGAAGACGTCCTCGGGGTTAGAGAGGCTGGCAGGAGGCTGTGCCCACGGACGGAGGAGACCTTGGAGGAGCCTGGGGAGACAGACCCTCCAGGGCTTCTGGAGTCTTCTCCCAGGCCCCCCAGCTGCTCCCCCCTCCACTCTGCCAGGCACCTTTAGCTCCGGCCACGGCAGAAGATGCTCTCCCTCAATTCCATGCCAGGGCAGCACATTTGGCATGGAATCCCAGGTCCCTCAGCCTGTCTGGGTCTCCCCTGCCCAGCATGAGGACCGTGTCTGACCGGGCTCTGAGTCTCCCAATGCTAAGACCTGGTGTGGAGGTACTTCAAATGCCAAAAGCATGCAGGAGCTCTGCCAGCAAGGCTTTCAATAGCTGCATCTTGTCCCAGCACCCACCCTCCCACGTGGGCAGGAGAAAGCCGGTCCTCAAAGGAAGGGCAACAGCGGGTCCGGTCTGAGCCCCGTAGCAGCCCCACCAAGTGCATACCATGGTGACATACTCCACTTCCTCCGTGTTGGCCTGGGCGGGGGAAGAGGACCTCGTGGAGGCCTTCTTCTGGGACGACCCAGAGTTTTCAGTCTGCTGCAGGCTCAGGTTTGCGTAGCAGATGTCGCCCTCCTTGGGCTGAAGCGCCTAGGAGAGGAAACACAGGTTTCTCTTCCACAGAGGGACGCGTGGCTCTCTGCTCCCCTGGGACCCCCCTCTCCCAGCTCCCTCTGCAACCCCCATCTCCTCTTAGCCTCCCACACCTCCCCCTCCCAAGCCCTCCTCCCTTCTGGCTGATGCCAGCATACGACCGGGCCCCTTCCCCGGCCCTTGCAGCTGGGCCATGAGTATATGGACATTTGGGCACAGAGTTTGTCTGATACATTTGGACCTTGGTGCTCCTGGGAGATGGAAAATAAGGAAGTGAGGGAAACATGTCTGGTGTCTCTGCTCTGACCTCGGGGACTCTCTTACCTGCTCTGGGGATATCTCAGCAGCTAAAAGACAAAAACAATCAGAGTTAGAAAGCCCATCCCCTCAGGTCTGGGAGAGAAAAGAGGTGAATTAGGCTTCGAGCTCAGAGAGAAGAGACCTGCTTCTAATTCTGATCCCTCAGAGGAGAACTAAGGAGACCTCAGCCCATCCATTCCCCACATCACAGAACTGTGCGATCAGCTGCTCAGGTGGCCCTGCCAGTTATCAACCCCCCCGGGATTAGGCTCAACCTAAAACTTCTGCTGGGATTCTGCCTGTGACGCCACCATTTCTCCACCTGCAGGGCTCAACTCAAAGTCACACCTACTTTCTCCAGCTATCCAGGCTGTCGGATCCCTCCCTCCCTGGCTCCCAGGGCATCTGATCTATGTCTGTCTCATCACCCTTGTCCCACTGAATTCTGGTTGGTCTTCAGGAGGGATGCGGGCTGCTGGATGGCCGAGCTTGTCCCTCCCATGCCTTCCGGGTGCGGACTGTACCAGGCACAAGAGGGACTCCATCAGTACAAGCTGTCCACGCGACGGGATGGCTCTAAGCTGCCCTCTGAGTGGCGTACCCGAGCTGGGTCATCACTGTCCGGACCAGCTCTCAGGTGCCCTCTGGTTCCTGTTTCTTTCTCTCCCTGCCCTCCCCCTGCCACCGTCACGCCCCCAGCTTCGGAGACAACAAAGAAACAAGAAAGATTTTCCCTATGGTTTTTAGATACTGAGGGGGACAGAAAGTATTTTTAACTTAGGTCACGGACAATACATTGGGGGGAAAGTATGATGAACAGGAGTCAGGCTCCCGTCTCTCCAAACTACAAGATTCCCCAGGCTGTGGGGACAGAGCAGTGTTAAAGAGGGTCCCGTGAGCTCCCAGATCCCAGTAGGTTCTGAGAAAGGGAGGAGGTGCAGTTAATGTGAGAACGTGGAAGTGGAGCCAGACAGGAAAAGTGTTTGGCCGAGGCCGGACCTCGTGATAGACAAGTGCAGACTCGTGAGCAGAGGCCCTTCCCTAAAGGGCAAATATACACAGAACAAGTAGGGTAGCCTGAGAAAGGGCTGAAGGGAGGAAGTGCAAACACAGGAGTGGCCACCAACATTCCTGAGAAAACACAGAGAACCGTGTATGAGTGTGCACACGCACATGTGCACATTCGTGTGCGGGCTATGTTGTGTGTGCGTGCGTGAACATGTGCTCGTGCATGTGTGTATACATCCGTGCGTGTGCGTGTGTGTGTGTTTCTCCATGCCCCCATGTCTATTCAGTACCCCCTTGACCACCACAGGAATTCTACTAAAGTGTCTGGGGACCCTAGGAAGGCTGCCTGCCTAAGGCCATTGCCATCTCTGCCACCAGGAACCAAACCAAGAAACAGACAGGGAGGCAGAGCAGAGAGGCAAGAGGAGCAAAGAGGGATGAGCAAGGTAGAATTGAATCCAAAACCTCCTGGGTTCACCTCCAAGCTCCAGCCCCTCAAACTGCCAGTCGCCGTGGCCTTTGGGACGGCACCCCTTCCAGACTGTGCAGGTATTCCCTTGGGCTGATGGTTCCCGGATGACCATGCTGGCCCACACACTTCCACCCAGCCCAGCCCCAGCCCGGTGTCAGCCAGGTCCCCTCACCTTTCTTCTGTTGTTTCAACATTCTCCAAACCACAAGTGAGGTCACCATCAAGAGAAGAAGCAGCACAGCAAAGATGAAGGGAAGGAGGATGTTGGCCTTCAGGAACACACTGCTGGGAACGACAGAGGATGCCCCAGGCACCCAAGCTCACCTCCTGTCTTTGGCCTTATCCCACCCACCTGGGAGCAGGGACAGCCACAGGCCTTGAAACCTTTCAACCTACAGGCCTGAGGTTTCCAGTCGGGGAACCCCTACTCCCAGATGCCCTCAAAGATGGTGTTTTAAAAAAAGAGAGAGGGGGGTTCCACAAGGGGTCTCAGTGGGTCTAGAAGCCAAACAGAAATTGTATGGCAAAGGCTCTGAAAAGGCCTCCCTGCTTCTAAGCTTGCCCCCTGTACAGGCTGAACAGTGTCCCTCACCCAGTAATTCATGTTCATTAGGAACTGGGGAAGGTGACCCCTTGGGAAATAAGATCTTTGCAGAGGTCGTCGAGTTAAGAGGAGGTCATACTGGATTAGGATGGGCCTGAATCCAATGACTGGTGTCCTTATAAAAGGGAAATGGGGGCACACAGACACAGAGGGAAAAGGCCATGTGATGACAGAGGCTGAGATTGGAGTGATGCCGCCATAAGCCAAGGAGTGCTTGGCTCACTGGCGACCACCAGAAGCTAGGAGAGAGGCCTGGGACAGAGTCTACTTTTGAGCCCAAAGAAGGAGCCAACCCTGCCGACACCTTGATTTCATTTCTGGCCTCCTGAGCTGTGAGAGTAAGTGAGAGGAGGTCCCAGCATCCTTGAGCTTGAGGGTCCGGAGACAAGCTCTGGCTGGGACCTGGGACTACAAAAGTCTCCCCTTTGGAAGAGTTTGGGCCAAGTGGGCCACATGTAACAGCAGCATCAGAGCTGGCTTACCCGCTGTTGGAGTCGGGGCTGGTCACAGCCAGGGAGTCACTGGTCTCTTCCAGGTTGACCGACACTGTGAACACGTTGATAGCAGAGGTGGCAGGAGTGGTGGCCGGCACTGCTCTGGGTGCTTGGCGTACAGACCAGGTTACACATGGCTCTGCCTGTTCACCCACCCGCAGCCTTACACATGGCTCTGAGCCGGGGGTGGGGATCATGGGCTACCTGAGGAGTCTGAAGCAGGGCCAAGGGAGAGAGCCTATAGCCTGGACCGCTCATATCTCCCTGGCCGCTAGGAGACTCAGAACCTCAGAGGCAGGTGGAGCTGGCACAGGTCCGGGGAGGACATCAAGCAGAACTTGGAAGGTTAGGGGGGGCCAGGCTTGCTTCAGGACAAGGGCAGCTGGAGTTCAGCTGGAATTCAAACACTCCGGCTGCTATGACAGGGCCTCGGCCAGGGGCCAGTGCCTCTCACCTTATTTATCCACAAGGACATGAACAGAATGGGGGCTCTCAGGTGGCTGACACACCCCAAATCTGTGACTTCAGACATGAGGACCAGCCCTGAGCAAAACCCTGAGGTTCAGGAAGAGCCTTTACTTGGGGCAGGTTCTAAAGCTTTCACAGTGGGGATGGTTACATCTCAGGAACGCTGTCAGGACTGAACGAAATGAGGCTGTGCTCTGCAAGTATAACAGGCCTCACACGTTCCTGGTGTGGTGGAGGCTCCGTTGACTGTGCGCCCACCCCCGTTGCCACAGGTGCCCAATGAGCTAGTGTCACCAGCTCTCTGCAGAAGCAGAGCCCAACAGATAAACTCGATCAGACCAAGGCACTGAGACCACTGAGCCGACACGCTCAGAGTGTTTGCATTCTGAAAGGATTTAGGAAGAGAACATCCTTCATCCCAAATGTGTAAATGGCAAATGATGGGATTTCAGGCACCCGGGAATGCGGTCCTTTGATTGTGGAGGCCTTTCCAGACCCCAGGAATTAATGGCAGCAGCCCAACTGTGCTGGGTCTTTCCCCCTGAGATGGGACATGGACCAGGGGGTGGGAGCTGCAGCTCTGAAGACCCAGCCCCAAATTCCAGAAAGAATAGGAACACCTGGGCAACGGGAGTCCCAGGAAAACATTAGCAGAAATTAGGGTCTCCGGGTGAGCCCATCACCTTGATCTCCATGGGCAATAGACTCGGGCACCGGGAAAAATAATGTGTCGAGAAAGGCTTGTCCCATCCTGGAGGAGGCCCTGGGGGCCATGAGAGCCTCTAAGGGAAGCCTTGCCCCTCCCAATCCCAGGTGGTCCGTGTGGGTTCCATGAGACCTCAGGACTCCCCCACCCCTGTGACGGTTCACTCTGAGTGACAAGTCACTAAAGAGGGACCCCAGGGACCAGGACAGAGCAGGCCCTGAAGAGACACATCTACACATACACATACGCTTACCTGGGTTAATGGTCACTTTAACTCGGACCCCAAGGTCAATTCCAAATTTCTCAATCCCACACCAGTAAGAGTCTGCATCGTTTAGCCTGAGCTTCTCCATGGTCACGGCGATGGTGCGGCTTTTCCTATTGTCCCTGATGGACACGCGGCCCTTCTTCACCTCCTTCTCTGGTTCAGTGGTTTTAACGACGAACTTGCAGCTGCTCCAAGCAGCTCCTCGGCACCACCACTTCGCATACGTCTCCCACCCAGGGCTGTATTGACACTTCACAGTCAACGAGTCTCCCTCTGGGCCGCTCACTGCTTCTGGGCCAGTGATGGCAGATGAGCCTGGAAAACACGAATCCATGTACCTGTCACCTCCCATCCTGAGGGCAGGGCCACAGCCTCCTGCATTGTGAATAGTTCCAATAAACCCAAGGTCCTCATGAGTTAAGTAGCAGTCAAGAAAGGAATACACCTTACACGTAAAGACCTTTTGTTCTTCAAAATCCTACCAGATCAAAGCCACCAGGAAAATCCCATAAAAGCACAACTACAGACCTTAAAGAAACAAAAACGTTGACACAGAGCAATAATAACTTCCTGTAGTTCACCCCCTCTCCCCTTCTCTGAGGCCAGTAAGTCTTTCTATTTCCAGCAATGTCCTTTTGCAACCATCTCTGTGTTATGCTGGTCTGATGGGGAAGAAAGACCAGAGGACCCATTTCCACAGAAGATGACTTTGTACTGAGGACCTCAGGAGGTTCAGCTGAAACACCCCCATCACCTAGCCCTGGAGAAACTTCCTAACGGTTCTAATTGTTTCGAGCGGTTCTACTGTAAACCACCCTGGAAGGAACGCCTTTGAAATTGACCAAAACAGTGATGCTAATCAGTCTCCCCATGCTATGGAATCTGTAACACCCGGATCCCATTTCTCCCCATTGAATTGCTTTGGTTCCTTTGTCAAAAAGCGAATCTGTGGGCTTCCCTGGTGGCGCAGTGGTTGAGAGTCCGCCTGCGCATGCAGGGGACAAGGGTTCACGCCCCGGTCCGGGAAGATCCCACATGCTGCGGAGTGGCTGGGCCCGTGAGCCATGGCCGCTGAGCCTGTGTGTCCGGAGCCTGTGCTCCGCAACAGGAGAGGCCACAACAGTGAGAGGCCTGTGTACTGCAAAATAAAAAAAAGCAAATATGTGAGTTCTTTATGGATTTTCCATTCTGTTCCGTTGATCCATTTGTCTGTCCTTTTGCCAATCCACACTGTCTTGAATACTATAGCTTTGCAGTAAGGCAGGTATCACAGAGTAAAGCAGCATTTCCCGATATATATGTTCTTACTCTTTCTTTCATTTTCTCGCCTTTGAAAGATTCAAGATACAGAGAAATGTATCTTTATTATAAGAAAAACAACACTTCAAGCATGATGAAGAATGGCATCAGTGTCAGACCCTGGGAGGTAGTGAGGACCAGGGCAATCTGGAGAGCAAACGCCCCCCGCAGAGGCATGGCCCCTCCCACTCAGCCCACTGTCCTCTTGCAAGAAGCAAGCAGTGTAATTTAAGATCTTCTCATTTTTCTGGAGGAGTCCGAATTCTGGGTTTGGGGTGGAACCTCTCAATTTTAAAACTCTGGCTTATTTAGAAACAACAGCCATCCAGCCCGGGCCGCCCAAACCCGTCTGCCGGCAGAGCTTGCTGTCCGGGCTCAACTCAGATCCACACGCGTAAGGGAGGTTCTTTCTGTCATTTTCCTTGTGTGTCTTTGTCAGCGTTGGTAGTAGAGATATGCTACTTTCACACAATTGATCTGGCAGATTTCCATTATTTTGCGCTCTGAGATCAGAACATAAATAGAGCAAAGGAATTTTGGTTTCTTTCGGATCTTAAAAAATTGGCTAGAAAATGATCTGGCAAATTCTTCATTGGGACAAATTCTTTGATTACTTAAATTTTTTTCTCCATGAATATTGACCTATTTAAGCTTTTTTATTGTTCTTTAATAAATTCTGTTCTTTTGTTTTGTTTTTCCCCAAAAGATGTCTATTTTACAGTGTATTAGCATAAAGTTCTGCAAATATAAAGTATCCTTTAATAATTAAATTTTTCATACCTATTATAATGACACATTTTGATGACATGTGCTGTTTTATTTTATTGATTACATGTGTCACAAGATTTCCTCCTTCATGTTTTTCCTCCCCCTCTTCCTCTTTCTTTTTTCCTGTGCTAAACCATTTTGAGATTTAGTTGGTAAATGTTACTGTTTTTAGTTTTAAGTTATTAATTTCTCATAGATATAATTTTATTTCCTTGAGATTACCACGTATCTTTTTCTAATTTGCTCAGTTTAAAGCTGGGATAATTTTCTTCCTTTCTAAAGTTAAATAAAGCATGTTGAAAACTAAGAATTTACTTCTGTCCACTTTTAAAGTTAAGATATAATTCGCATATCATAAATTTTACACTTTGAAAATGTATACTTCCGTGGGTTTTAGGATATTCACAAAGTTGTACAACCATGAACTCTATCCAATTCCAGAATGTTTTCATCACCCCAGAAAGAAGCCCTGTACCCATTAGCAGTGACTCCTCACCTACCCCTTCCCTGAAGCCTCTGGAGACCACGAATCTTTCTGTCTCTATGGACTTGCCTTTCTGGACATTTCATATAAATGGAAGCATACAATATATGATCTTTTTTGTCTGACTTCTTTTACTTAGCATAATGTTTTTAAGATTCATTCATGTCATAACATGTATCAATATTTCATTCCTTTTTCTGGCTGAACATTATTCCATGGTGTGGATCTGCCGCATTTTGTATATCCATTCATCACTTCATGACATTTGGGTTGTTTCCACTTGATACATAATTTTGGAACACTGTAAAAGTGCTTTTCTTATAAAACAAAGCATGAATCTATCCTCTGACCTAGCAATTTCACTTCTAGGTATTTTTCTAAGAGAAGTTAAAAACAAATGTCCACAAAAAAGAATTTTTATCACAGCTTTATTTATAATACCAACATATTAGAAGTAACTCAATGGAGTAGGAGGTTGGGGTGAGCAGATGTGAGCTTTTATATAGAGGATGGAGAGACAGCATGGTCCTACTGTGCAGCACAGGGAACTATAGTCAATATCCTGTGACAAACCCTCATGGAAAAGAAACTGCAAGGTCCTACTGTGCAGCACAGGGAACTACAGTCAATATCCCATGATAAACCCTAATGGAAAAGAATATAATTTAAAGGAACATATATATATGTATAACTGAGTCACTTTGCTGTATAGCAGTAATTAACACAACACTGTAAATCAACTATACTTGAAAGAAAGAGAGAAAGAAAGAAAGAAAGAGAGAGAAAGAAAGAAAGAAAGAAAGAAAGAAAGGAAGGAAGGAAGGAAGGAAGAAGGAAGAAAGAAAGAAAGAAGGAAGGAAGGAAGGAAGAAAAAGAGAGAGAGAAAGAAGGAAAGAAAGAAAGAAAGAAAGAAAGAAAGAAAGAAAGGGAAAGAAACTCAAATGTTCACCAACAGGGGAACAGGTAAACAATTAGTAGCATATTCGTAGTAACAGCATAGTACAGAATAATAAGAAGGAGTGAATTAGTGATACAAAAAACAACATGGATGAATCTCAAAAACACACTGTGTGAAAGATCAAAAGAGAATAAACTTCATGATCCCGTTTATGCAAAGTTCTACATTAAGCAAAATAACCTTCGGTGATAGAAATTACAACAGTGATTCATGGGTGGGGGAAAGATTGGGAGGGACACTAAAGAACTCCAGGTGATGGAAATGTTCTGTATCTTGATAGGTGATACAAGTTACACGAATTTGTCAAAACTCAGAATTATACACTTAAGATCTATACATTTCACTATATGTAAATTATACCTTAATTTAAAAGACTCTTATGGGATGCATCTGGAGTTATGCTTAAGGACATTTTATAACGTTAAATGCATCTATTAGAAAAGTAAAAAGGACTTAAATTTAATAAACATATATTTCAGAAGTTAACCGAAAAACAGAAGGAGGAGTAGGAGGAAAGAAGAAAGTAGAAGAAAGGAAATAATGAAGTTAATAAAAATTAATGAAGTGGAAAAAATCATATAATAAGGAAATCAAAAAAGCCTAGAGTTGGTTAAAAATAAATACATAAATAACCCTAATTAGATATTCATTACAGAAAGAGAGAGGTCTAAATAATGAATATCAGGAATGAAAATGGGGACATCAGTACATATCCTGCACACATTAAAAGGATTATAAGGACTTCCCTGGTGGCACAGTGGTTAAGAATCCGCCTGCCAATGCAGGGGACACGGTATCGATCCCTGGTCCGGGAAGATCCCACGTGCCGCGGAGCGTGCGCCACAACTACTGAGCCTGCGCGCCTCGAGCCTGTGCTCTGCAACAAGAGAAGCCACCGCAATGAGAAGCCCGCTCACCCAACGAAGAGTAGCCCCCGCTCGCCACAACTAGAGAAAACCCGCGCGCAGCAACGAAGACCCAACGCAGCCAAAAAACAAAAAAGCTAACAAGAGGATAAGGCAATAATAGGATAGGATAATAAAAGGATATCTAGATAAGATTATGGCAATAAATTTGAAATTTTTTGGAATAAACAGATGCCTAGCAAAAATAATACAATGTGCTAAAACAACACAAAAAGAAATAGAAATCTGAATAATCTTACAACTATTTAAATAAATTAAATCCATTATTAAAAACCTCTCCAAAAGAAAACTCGAGACGTCTATAGCTTCAATGGAGATATCTATTTACTAAACATTGAAGGAAGAAGTCATGTCTACCTTACACAAAAGAATTCTGAAACAAAGGAAAGGAGGATGCAATCCCAAATCCATTTAATGAGACTGGCATAATCTTGATGCCAAACACTGACAAGGGCAGTGCAGGAAAGAAATATTATAAGCAAATATCACTCATGAATATAAGTGCAAAGGTCTGAAATGAAAACTCAGCAAGCTGAATCCAGGGCATCTTTTTAAGATTCGTGCATATGTTATAACGTGTGTCAGTATTTCATTCCTTTTTATGGCTGATCACTATTCCATGGATCTGCCACATTTTGTATATCCATTCATCAGTTCACAACATTTGTTTTTCCCACTTTACACTAAGATCCCACATGCCGCGAGGTCAACACCCATTCATGATTTTCTAAACATTCTTAGCAAATGAAGCGTAGAACATGCTTTATCTGATAAAGACCATCTATTAAAAGCCTCAGGGCTTCCCTGGTGGCGCAGTGGTTGAGAGTCCACCTGCCGATGCAGGGGACACGGGTTCGTGCCCCGGTCCGGGAGGATCCCA